TTATGATATGTCAAATCTACCGTCAGTTCGAAATGATTTCGAGATGAGAAGAACTGACAAGAAAGCTCTGCTGAGCTGGGGACAAAGTAGCGCTAGGTGAGTTTTCCAGGTAGATGATTATCTATGTGTCGCGTACCAAGCAGTAACAAAACGAAGGGAGCGTTCTGATTGGACCGCACACCCATCCAATTTTAAATACGCAAAGTAACGTACAGACTTAAAATATGAACCGATCGATCTAACGTACAATTTGTTCATTCATCCAAATTTGTAATCAATAGTATATTTGCCCAATAAATTCAAGACTATAAGCAATTCTATTATTTTCTACAACCCGTAATCTGCTGAAGCCAACATCACATCATCACATCATCATCATCATCATCATCATCTGAGCATTCGAGCCGCATCATCACGTACCACTATACATATAAATAAAATTGGAGTGTCTGTTTGTATTATTGAAATAAAGAGTTTTTACTACATGTATATGAATATAAATTCGGTACATACACCAAAATAACATTTTTTATCATTTTTGTCTGTCGGTCTGTTTGTTCCGGCTAATCTCTAAAATGGCTGGACCTATTTGGCGGGACTTTTATTGGCAGGTAGGTGATGTAATAAGAAGCAACTTAGGCTACTTTTATTTTAATCCACGCGGACGAAGTCGCTGGAACAGCAAGTTATTAAATATTATTTAAATATCTAATAATAATAATCGTCTAATCACACGTTTAAATAAAATATTTGAAGATTACAGATCTAGTTCTATCACCACAAATCACTATAATGAATCTGAACTGCATATCAATACCGCTTGAACCAACATCTGGACCAGTCCAGATCTTATCTTAAGGCAACGGATTCAACAGCGTTTGCAGAAATATGTTATTTGAGATCCATATCTTCTGCAGCGGCCGCTTGGAACATGTTTTCAATATGTATCAATTGGATAAATTTATTCACGTCACTGGCGACCCGCCCCGACTTTGCACGGGTGTAACTTCCCGTCCGTTAATCACATGATCATTTCTTAAGCATTTTTTAACCCCCTGTGATGAGGTTTAAAATGACCTCCCCTCTCCCCCGCTCAACATCACATCAAAATAAAATAAATTAAAAAAAAAAATTTTTTTTTTCCTTATGATCTATTAAAATTATACTATTTGTGGATATGGACCCCTCTATGGGTGAAGGCCTCCTCCATCTTTTTCTAATATTCTCTCGTCTCGTTTTTTCCTATAGCTAGGAAAATGTATTTAAGGTACTTAATTGGATAAAAATTTATGCTGATTAAGTGCGTAGCGGTTTCTATGTTGATTGTCGCATGCCTAATCCTTGTTGTTAATTAAATATAAGTAAATCAATATTTATTTAAAAGAGCAACACAAGTTTCTTGCTTATTCTTCTTGTGATGAATCTGCATTCCGAATAAGCGGTGGAATAAAAAAACTTGACTATTCAAAAGTACTTATATTAAGTTTATTTGAATAAAGATTATTTCTATTTCTATTTCTTGCAGTATTACTTCGTAATTAAGCCATTTTTCCTGTAAAATGTAAAGGATGAAAAATAATTATTGTGGGTTATTCTTAAGAGATAGACATATACCATCGTGGATTTTTTATTGACCTTTTTAAGGTGTACAATACTGTAGTACATTATTTTGATTTATCTCTTGGGGTTCAGCCAACGTTTGCAATGTAAGAACAAAAAATGTGTCTATATACGACATCACATTAGAAACCTATAAATTGAACAGTGTTTCTCTACAATATTATGCATATAATTAGTAAAAATCACGGGATCTTACCACGTCACGTAAAACGTGGTAAGATCCCGTGATTTTTACTAATTATACGTATAAATAATGACCGCGTCAAGTTTAAAACAGAATATTATGCATGTATTATATATATAAACCTTCCTTTTGAATCACTCTATCTATTAAAGAAAACCGCTTCAAAATCCGTTGCGTAGTTTTAATGATTTAAGTATACATAGGGACGGACAGACAGCGACAGCGACTTTGTTTTATACTATGTAATTATAGTCATGATAGTGATAGTGATGATAAGAATAAGCCTTCATCATCATTATTGGTTATATTTGCATTAACCACAAATTACGCTACTGTTCAGTAAATTACAGGTTTTGATGAAGTTAATTACATCTTTATAGAACAGGGTTTTTATAGAGGTCATTTGGCTCCACAAGTAATTACATATTTACCGTCGCCTCTTATCTTATTACGTTATTATTATTATTATATTTTTAAGTATTGATTATACAAAGATTAAGTGCTAGTTTCTATATTTATTATCGCATGCTTAATCCTTGTTAATGTGTATTTACTTAGAACAAAATTTTAGCTTAGCTTTAGCTTTTTTATTTAAAAGAGCAACACGCAAAAATAGAATATAAAGTCATTTATTCCAATAAACTTAATTTAAGCACTTTTGTGTAGTCATAACAATGTTTTATTTTAATCTACCGCTCATTCGGAAAGCTGTCTCATCACAAGAAGAACGAGCAAGAAACTTGTGTGTTGCTCTTTTAAACAATCCTTGTAAGTTCACATTATACAATTCGAAACGTGTGAATACAAACTACCAACCAGCACTAATATATTAGAGTTAACTATAAGTACACAATAAGATTAAATCAGTCGTAGTGATAACAGACCAGTCTCTACAAGCAGCACTCATTCACGAGAATGACGGATTAGCCAGCCATCACTGCGCTCGACCATATTTTATGACCATCACAAGAAGGACGAGGACGAGAAAGAAGAGAACGACGATTCAGTTTCTCAATTACTTAAAATTTGTTCCATAATTTAATTCAATTAATTAATTAAATTCTAATCACTACGACTGATTTAATCTTATTGTGTTTTAATATTTGACCCTAATAAATTAGTGCTGGTTGGTAGTTTGTATTGACAAGTTTCGACTTAAAAATGTAAAATCACGGTTATTTAAAAGAGCACAAGTTTCTTGTTCATTATTCTTATGATGAGTCTGCATTCCGAATGAGTGTTAGAATAATCTTCCATTCATCTCTGTTCGCAGTCATCTCGTTATTTACTCCCTTTCTCACCATATCATCTTTCACACAGTCCATCCATCTCTTTTTCGGTCTTTCTCTACCCTTATAACCATCCACATTCATATGTAACACCGTCCTTAGGATATGATCTTCATTCCTACGCATTACATGCCCATACCACGATAGACGATTACTCTTTAATTAATGTTGTACATATGTTTACAATAACATTTATAATAAAGTAGCCTGAAAAAAATATAGTATTTCTATAAAAAAACATGTAAAATGTTACGAAAAATTTGAGCATAATCTTATTTTTCCTGTTGCGTCACTTGCAACAAAAATTATACAATTTTAATATTCTGGTGCTCATTCCGTCAAAATTACTTTTTTCCTCTTCTGTTTTAAAACCTCTTTGCAGATATTAAAAACAGTTAAGATATTTTCTTTTCCGGTCGTTTAATATACCTATATCTACATTGTTTTATAATTAAAAAAACATCTGGTATACTGGTGCTATACAAAATGTTTTAGCTAATCCTTCGGATACTATCCGATGGTAAGGCAAATTACTGCTGTAGCGAACTCCTTGATAAGATTTTATACTATTTTTAAATTTGGTAATAATATTCTTTGACATATTCTTTCTATTATATATCGCTGTCATACTAGTCGCATTTTATTTAATCTCCGTATTTTCCTCATTAAAACCCTCAGCACCTCTCACTCATCAGACACATTGATACCTCCGCTTCAACTGCCTTCTGAAAAGTACATGTCATATATTTTCACTTTCTACAGAAGTCCTAAATTATTCTATGTAATTTAAAAAAACTAGTGTAGTATCTAAATACATTTTTGTCTGTACTAATTTGGGGAAATGATTATGTCATTTCGTGACCACTAAAAGATTAGCATGTATCTTAAAATCTTTAGTAATCTACAGAAACAGATTCGATAAAAATACAATATGGATATTTGCGGCTATCTACGTTTTGTATGTATGTCTTAAAATCTTTAGTAACAGAAACAAACTTGATAAAAAAAAATATTAATTTGCGGAAATATATGTCTTAAAATCTTTAGTAACAGAAACAAACTTGATAAAAATACGAAATATAGATTTGTGGCTAATAATAAAAATACAACATGTGGATATATATATATATATATATATATATATCTCTGTAGACTATGTAACTAACAGAGTCTACAATACAGTAGTTTATGTTTAATACTATAAATGTATTTAATAGTACATTGTGTTGTCTGGATGTATTGAAATTGATTTTAAATGGAAACTTTTCCATTAAATCGCACAATTTGAATAAAACATGCGCGAACTGTGATGCCGACGAGATGAGAATCAACGATATGCTGAAATAGCAGTTCACAATACACAATGCACCATAACGATGTGTGAAGTTATTTCGTACATGTAAAATATTAAGTACGTTACAGGATTAGAGGTATGACATTTTTGTTCTCTGAAATGGCAACATATAAGCATATATCGCAAGTATCAGGTGATAATAAGAGTAGTAGAAGAGACTGCTAGTCGTAAGGAACCTCAGGAACTTAAGTGGTCTCGGACAGTGCAGTTTCAGAGGAGCTTCTTTCAGCTTACACCTTTTTCTAGAGACAATAGCGTGAGGTTTTTCAAGAAGAGTATAAGAAGAGGTTTCTTACGAGTTAGAGGACGAAACACTAATGTTTCTATACGCCGTTGATAGGAGCTACCTTTAAGCCCTTACATGAGTCCAGGCCTGCAGCCTTACACTAGACCGAAAAGAAAAAATATACACAAGATAAAGAAATGGGCCAAGAATAGAACCCTGGGGTACACCCATATTTATAGATGACCTGTAGGCCTTGCTTCCGTTAATGTCTATTATTTGAATTGTATGAGTTCTGAGGATTAGAGTCGGAAATAAAATGGTGCTGACCTGTTGGGGCGTGTCAGTCTCGAAGGCGTAGCAGTAGTGGGCTGTGGGCTCGGAGCGCGGCTCGCGGGCGACGAATGCGAACAGCGCGCGCGGCGCTTCACACGTCGCGTACGAGATGCGCCGCAGTGCGTGCCACATGCGCACGCTCTGCTGTAAGGACAGACAGACAGAGTACACATCAGGGATATCTATTATTATAAGCAATTATAGATTACTTTGTACACACTACATGAACGATATATTGACGTTTTACTTGGTGAGTGCATTGGTATTGTACTGTAATAAAAATGTAATTTTATATAAAATTTATAAATATAAAATTTCATACACACTTAGATATATTATATAGAAAAAGAAGGAGTATACGCTTAAGAATGTTAATATTGTTAATATTGTTTTAAAATTATGCATAAAACATACATAAAATGAATAAATAAAATATCATTTTTTAGTTTTAAATAAAAATCATCATCATTTACTCGCATAACAAGGTCTAATTAGTGTTAGATTAGTTGGCGCTATGTTATATATCTAAATGCAATTATTGCTTATTAACAAGTTTATTTTTTTTTCCAGAGGTTCCTTATTTGCATTACATTAATGCTATATATATAATATTACCTGATCGTCTGGATTGCATACTCGCAGCCCAGTAAGGGCGATCACCACCAGTACCGGAACTGCACGCCCGTTCTCCTGCAACAATACAAAATAACAATACAGTACTATCCAATAACGGTACAACATCTGTATTAGTAATACTATGTTAATAGTATCCCTAATATGAATTTAAATCTGACGGAGAAGTATACAATTTTGCACACTTCACACACACACATCACTACATAGTATAAAACAAAGTCGCTGTCGCTGTCTGTCCGTCCCCATCAAAATAATAAGTCAGTCACCTTTGAGTTATATATATATAGATAGATTATTGAAATACACTGCACATAGCAGGTAAACGAAACCAACATGTATTTTCTGAACTCTATAATTACATTGGCACCCCCAATGTAATTATAGAGGGTAAGGGTATTAGGTTTATGGTAATATTTAAAAACAGAGTATATTTAATTGAACGCAATAGATTACATTTTGTACTACTAAAAGCGTTCCTTCTGATTAAATACTTTTAGACCAAGAAAGAGAAGAAACATTGCAAATATTTAAAAAAAGTTAAATTCAAATACAAGTTAAAAAATCATTTATTCATGTAAGATATTTTAGAGAATTAGATTAAGTTAACATTTTATTGTTTTGTTATCAAGAAACATAAATAAACTAATTTTTATGTCAATGAAAACAAAAGATGCACAAGTTATGGAAGATATTCCATTATCACCGAAGTTTTACAATTAATAATATTAAACCTTAGTTATTTGGCTAAATTATATTTTTACCTATAAAAAAATTCATGACATGATTATTCTACATATACATATATGTATATAGTTATATGTATACATGTCTGTGTTGCAATTTGTCGGTCTTTTTTTAAATAAACAAGGAAATCTGCAAATTAATTTCATTTGATTTCAGGTATCAAAAACCAGTGTATATGAAACTGAATGAAAGCAGTAATTGAAAGGCAACAGTTGTTGTCGCTGCCAAAACCTTAATACGTGAGGTTTTTAACGTAATCAGTGTTGCCAGATGTCCGACTAACTTTACCCCCGCATTTTATCCAAAATTACCCCAATGAACATAGCAATCCTTATTCTCCTATTATATTCTAATTAATTTAAAATATATAATTATATAGTAATACTCTAATAAACAGTCCCTATTTTTTTTGAGAAGCTTTTTTATAACAGTTCTTATTTTATATAAATTTCAATGTGTTCCCAAAAATTAAATTTTTTTAGACCAGTTGTTTCATAGTTTTCGTTCTTCTCTGCTTTATAAAGAAAGATTGTTTTATTTTTTTGTATGTCTATACGAACATACAAAAAAAACTCCCTTAACTAGCTTCAATTTTCTCCCTTAACCTCAAATTCCCCCCAAGTTTGTCAAGAAACCCAATATGGTATCACTAAAGGTATCTTGGCTGCTTTAGCCTGACAGATTTCCTTGTTTTGTATACCTATATGAACAAATAAAAACTCCTAAAACTAACTTCAATTTTTTTCCGTAACCTTTCTTTCTCCCCAAATTTGTAGAGAAACCCAATATGATATCACTAAACATATCTTGTTTATTTTAGCCTGTAAGATTTCATTGTTTTGTATGCCTATATGAACAAACCAAGAACTCCCATAACTAGCCTTTATTTCTCCCCATAAATTGTTAAAATTTTCTCCAAAATCTCAAATTCCCCCCAAATTTGTGGAGAAACGTAAAATGGCATCACTGAAAGTAAAGGTGCGGCGTTTGGCGGTCAGAGCTCGGTGGCGGAATACGCAGTCCGGCCAACAGGTAGCATAATAAATCTGGATGAAACAAAAACGAAAACGGCGGAGTCTATTACGGAAACAACACACGTCTGCAGATTTAATATAGGGTTGCCCACTGAACAAATACACACTGCGTTGTAAGAGAACTACCCTTGCGTAAACGTAAGTTAAAATTACTGAATGGAGCCACTTGTAGTGTTGAAATCTTATTAAAAAAGATGGTTGCACAGTTTCATACAAAAAGTCTTTTTTTATAGCACAGGGGACATACATAGTAAGTGATTACCGCCGCTCATGAGCACCAGCAACACCAGGAGAATTGCAAGTACGTTGTTAGCCTTTTCAACTTTTGAATGGTAATGGTAACGGTATCCGTATACTTATTGATTTTTTTTTATAATGCAGGGGACTAACGAGTATGCGGCTCACCTGATGGTAAATTATTTAGCCCATTAGCACCCACCCGCACCAGGGGAATTGCAAGTACGTTGTCGGCCTTTTAAAAAGGAATAAGCTCTTTTCTTGAAGGTTTGAATCGTATCGGTTCGGATATACCATTACTGGAAGGATACCACATTTTTTTTTTGGGGACCATAATAAAACGGTTCTCCCGCCTGCGCTAACGTTTTACGCTGGCGGGGCACCAGTGGAGGATAATGAGATGAGCATGAGGTCAGGTCAGTTGACCCATCGTGACAAATTCACTAGGAATTTATTAATATGGTTTCTAGAAGGAACCGTGGAGGACGACCTAACATGGTACATTGCTAGCAATGGGAGTTATGTTTCTATTACTAACAATACCCTTCCCCCCTCTAACAGCATTTCAACAAGGAAAAAAGAATATGTATGATCTCAATCTTGCTCTTTTGATATTAAAGCATATCTCGAATTGGACAAAACAGTTCCCGGACAGTTCGTCCTGGATTACAGTTTGAAAAGGGTATGTTAGTTTATTCAGTTAGCGGCCGTTGTCCCGCAGAGAAATCTTCGAGTTACGTGGTTGAGATAAAGGGCTATATTATGCTTAGGGAAATCGTTTTATCATTTACTTCCGTGTGCTATACTTGTATATATCATAAAGATATGTTTAATATAGTGGTTTATTGTTAAGTTGCATCAGTGTCTCTGGGCGCTCCTCAAAGATTCAATGGGAGAGAATTCTATAACATTAAGTTCATCTTTAGTTATAGATAGATAGATAGATAATTGATTTCAACACAAATAATACTAATTACAATAAGACACAAAATGAGAAATAAATGGTAACATAGAAAGTTGGCAATAGGAGCTACCTCAGCCGTTGCCTTACTTATAAGCACAACCTACGCGATATATGATATATGAGGTGCACCTATATAGCGCTGGGATTCAGGCAGCCCCCATTACTTATAAAAAAAAAACGAAGATGCGGGTTTTTTACTATAAACAGATATATATAAATTTATAATATTTAAAATGTTAAAAAAAAATATCAAAGAGCACAAGTTTCTTGCTCATTCTTCTTGTGATGAGACAGCTTTCTGAACGAGTCAAGGGCGGATCCAGCTTTAGCGCCAGGAGGGGGTCACATAGTCGTGGTCAAGGAAAGAGCTTATAATTTGATTTGGAAATAACAATAGATACAAGTAAAACGTAGGTATTTTATTAACGTACAAAGTTATTATATTATATTAAATTAATTAAGTATTGAAGGTATGTAGTTACATAAAATCTGTATAGTGACAAAATATATAAATAAAATCATTATGTTCAATTAGTGGTCCACCTAAGACCTAGAACCAGCTCAGGTGGGGGGTCATAACCCTTATGACCCCCCCTGGATCCGCCGTTGGAATGAGTGGTATATTAACAATTTGTGATGACTATTCAAAAGTGTTTAAATTATATTTCTGGGCTAGTTTTCAATATAAAACAACATGCAAGCCGTTGAGATTAATTAGTGCACGAGAATTAAGGGGCGGAGCCGGTGTACAGTTTGCTTTCTCCGAGCACATTTAGTGAGGGGCGCGGTGGGCCAGCGTCCCTCATTAGGCATTTTAATTAAGACGGTCCCAATTCCCGGGACGAACGAGCAGCCGCTAAGTATCATTTACCTGGGTGCCTCTCAACCCTTCGCTAAACTATACTGGCTTGGAGATTTTAACTGGCATCTAAATCTATGGAGTCTTATATTATTGAAAAAAAAATAGATTAAAAAATAGATTATTAGATAATTAGATAGATAGATAAATTCTTTATTCCCAATTCCAGACACATAACATACATGAGATACAGAAAAAACACGAATTAATAAAAGAAATGTAGGTGACTTTATGTGCCGCAAAAGTGAAAAGGCAGCCAACTCAGCATAATGCCACAGATAACTCTGCAGCGCTGATATTCTGTTGGCTCCTTACTTATACTATACTTATTACTAAAAAATTACATAAATATTAAACTTCGAGTTCTTTATCAAAATATATAAAGTATGAATAAACTATAAATAATGTAATTAATTATGTTATTAAACTACTTATACTACATAAATACTATTATATGGATTACACATATATTGAGGTGGTGAAATGCTCCGCGAGACTGATGATGACGAAGATGATGCAAGACAATGCTTGCGGACTAAGTTGGGTAAGCAGCAATTAAGTAGAAAGAAAATTAAATAGATGTAAATGTAATGTTCACAAGATGAATAGACTAAAAATTAGATTTTAACTAAAGTCGTATCCGTCAGGCGGGAGTTGGCCTTCAGCCGCTCCATAAGTCCTTCCTTTGGTTTGGAGTGATATGCACTCGCACCCTATCGTCCGGTGAAGCTGTAAAGGACAGCTACGGCCAACAGTATTAGAGTCCAAACAAAAAGGTCCAGTAATATAAAAAAGATGTAACTGCATTTTTTATTATTGCTTTTATTGTTTGTATCGAATGAACACATTTTCTTCGTTAGACATAGACACCTATATAAATTTACATTGGAAATAAACTGGCTATTAAAAAATACAATTGAGTTCTTCTCAATTGGATCTACAGACATTCACGTAGACTATGTGATACGAAGATTGTCTGTTGAAAAATGATTCAACAAATAGTTGGGGTAAAAGGGGATTCTTAGTAATATTAACTGATGATCATATTGCTAGCAATATATCAGGTTGACCTCCACGCGGTTCCCCCTGGAAACCATCGTTATAAATTCTTGGTGAATTTGTTACGATGGGCTAACTGATCTGATCTCGTCCTCATCTTATCATCTTCCACTGGTGCCCCGCCAGCGTAAACCGTTATGCGCAGGCGGGTGCAACA